CCCCAAAACCCCAAAACCCCAAAACCCCATATGGTTTTATATGCTAATTGTAATAGAAAATATTAATTATAAAGCTTATTAACCAAATGTTAAAGTTCAATTAATTATAATATAAAAAATGATGAACAATGGAGCGAAAGCAGGATCTAATCCAAGTGTAATTGTGATGGAAAATTATGGCGAAAACATTCAATAAAGTAAAAGTGACCCCTATTACAAAGAACCAAATAGTAAGATTTTATTATTTATTATTGCTAATAGCGAGATTAAGCAGGTGGGAGGATGAAACTCAAAGTATTTTACAATTTACTTAAAATATGATAAATATTGTAGGCTAAAGAAAGAATGGATGGGGAACTGAATATGAGAAAACTTTTACACCATAAACCTTTGGTTTCATGCCAAGGAGCTATACCATTGAGGAATTTGAAATATGGATAAGTAATTGTTCATTATTAAATTTCTTTAGGACGCCATAGGCTTGATGACTTATAGAGAAGAATAGCTGTATCAGATTTTGAATAAAATGATCCAGATATCAGATCACCAAGTCCTGAGCCTGTTTATGATCCAAAGACTGGTTTAAGAATGAATACTAGAGATTAAAGACTAAAAGAAAAATATTTAAAGGAGAGAAATAGATTGATCTATGAAGTACTCTAATTAGATTCAACTTATACTGTATGTATTTATAGATTTTTATAATGGATGCAGGCCCCACCTGATTACAAACCTCCTAAAAAGTTCAAGAAAATACCCATTCCTGATCCAGATAATCCAACTTTAAATTATATTGGATAGATAATCGGACCAGGAGGAACCACTTAGTAGAAGCTTGAAAGAGAAAGCAAGTGCAAAATATAAATCAGGGGTAAAGGTTCACAGAATAAGGTAATTCTTCTTGTAAAATACTAAATAACTTACAGAACAAGATTTACAATAAGGATGAGGCAGAAGAAAATGAGCCATTATACGTATTAGTTACAGCAAATACAGATGATCACCTAGCTAAAGGTGTTGCAATGATAGAAGCTATAATCTAGTAAACAGATGAAAACAAGAAATATTAATTAATAGTGTATGATCATCTCAATGTTGGTTCAAAAAAGGCATGGTGCGAGTGCTGTGGTGAACAAGGCCATAAATTTTACGAGTGTCCTGAAAGATTATTAGGCAACACTTCAACTATCTATTGTTCTATTTGTGGAAGCAATAATCATCCTTCAGCAGATTGTCCTGAGAAAAGTAAGACTTTATTCTGTACATTTATTAAAATATCCTGATAGAGAAGAAAAAAGGTATAGAAGAAGAGATAACTCCAGAAGAAGAATTACATAATTTCCTCTAAGACTTAAAGAAAGAAAAGGATTAAAGAGAGAAGTATAAGATGATAACTGGAAAGGAGGCGCCAAGATCACTTAATTTTGCCTAATTTCAGGCAGAGTAAGAACTAAAAACTATTTAAAATCCTTTCTTTGCTCCAGGTTCATCTGAGTAAAATCAGAAATTAGAAAAAGAATAACAACTAGCACTTGCCATTATCCATGGGGATTCAAATGGATAAGTAGCTTAATATAGAGGAAATGGTTAAGATACTGAGAATCCTTTAGCTACGGTTTTCAAAAATTACTCTGATACTTATTCCACAATGCTGGCTAATTCAGTCACTTAAACGTAAAACCAAATGGCGATGAAATAAGCTTAGTAGTAGTTATTTCAATAACAATAGTTATAGAGTTCCAATGATGGTAGTAGCACATTTGCATAACAAACAGTTCAAAACAATGATGAAACTGTTGATGCATAGATGTAAGAAACTCAGCCTGATAGGAACAATGAAAAGAAAAATGATATGACTCAGGAACTCTTTCTATAGTAGTAACAAATGTTCTAGTAAACTCAGTAATCATAAATTGGTGCTTAAAGTTCTTATAAATCTTACAAATAGGAATAATAAATTGCGCCTCATTAAAACATTGCGGGTGGAAATCTTCTTCCTCCAGTTGCAGGTCAGCCTCCCTATGCACAAGCTTTTAGACCTCCTATTGGATAGCCACCTTATCCACCTTAAGCATCAGGTTAAGCTTATCCTGGTTATAACCCATATTATTAGTAGTATCAAAATTGGTATGGCTATGGCTAAAATAGCCAATATTACAACTATTATGGAGGCTATCAATATCCATCGAACTACTATTATCCGCAAGGTTACTAACAGTAATATCCTTACCCATAAGGTTATTAGCAATAGCCTGGACCAAATGAAGTTATAGTAAATGGTGCAGGAATTCAATCCATTCCATAAGTTAATGATTAATAAAAAGAACAGAATTAAGTTACTGGTGATAATCCTATGTCAGGTTAGGAATTATTACCTTAAGCTGAAGTTAAAAACCCAATTAAAACTGAAATTTGATAAAGAGAGAGGTTCAATACAATCAATAAAGTAGGATAATCGATCCTAAACTTTTCTCTTAAAAGCATTAATAATTAATTAAAAAAGTTATCAACTACATATTATTCAATATTTTTACTTAATGGGGTTTTGGGGTTTTGGGGTTTTGGGGTTTTGGGG